AAAGGAGTAAATAAATGAGTAAGTTGCTAAAGGGGCAAATGAATCAGTCAGATGTAAAACTACCTAGACATGTCCTTCTCACTATAGATTAGGGGCAGGCTCTACTCACCCCTTAAAAGCACAAATAGCAGGGGTTGGGAAGGTGGCTCAATGATAGAGTGTTTGACTTGTATGCATGAGGCCCTGGGTTTGATTCCTCAGCACCACATAAGCAGAAAAAAGCTGGAAATGATGCTGTGGCTCAAGTGGTAGAGGGCTAGCCTTGAGCTGAAGAGCTGAGGGAAAGCACTCACATTCAGAGTTCAGGCCCACCACCAACCACAACAACAAAAAATGCACAAAGAGCAGGGAAGGTTAAAAAGCACAAGCAAACTGACGACCCACCAGAGTGTGGCCACCTGGCTCCTTTGCCAGAATCCTGCCCTGGGGGGTGGAAGGCCCATCGGGCAACCAGATCAGTGACCTACAACTACTGGCAGAGTAAATTTGCTCACACTCTGACCTGAGCATTCTTTCTATGCTGTGGTCTTCTGACCAAGCTGAGCATCATTCATATACTATGTTCAAGGAACTTGTCTGTGCATGTCCCCTGGGATCATACGCTGAGTTGCCTTCCAGTTTGTATAGCACAGTAGTCTGTAGTGCTTATTCTTATTTCTTTGGTGTTCACAATGACCAACATGGCCGACAGACCATAGATGAAGGTGTGAAAGCTGAGAACCTTGCTCATGGTCATGTTTAGGGAACTAGGAAACTTCCTATGTAGCACAAACCTTAAGGTAATAACTTTGAGCTTTCCTTTTCATTCAGAGAGAGAAAGACTATATTGTTAGCATGAAGGCTTCAGGTCTTCCTTTGAGTCTAATGATAGCTCTCTTCTTCCTATCACTGAACATAGTATGCCATGGTAAATCAAAAGGATTCAATAAAAGTTTATTAATTTTATTCTGATTCAACTGTGACTCTTGGTAGTACAGTTTCATTGCACTAATATCATTTTCTTTCTAGTTTGGATTGACTTAGAGAAACTGACTTTGGTTTCATTTACAACTTGGTTAAAAATTTAGTTTGAAAACTGAAGAGATAAATTCCATCTTCTTTCCACTTTTGGTTGATGTCACACCAACTCCATTTTCTCCCAGGCAGTGGAAGCTATGCCCTGGGCTCCAGGCTCTCTGTTCTGATACCAACCCTCACATCTTTTCCTGGACATAGTCATGAAAAGAAAGTGATGAGATAGTTGGAGAATTCTCCTGTGTCATGATCACTTCTGGGGGTGAAAGATCTTAAAGTATTTTCCTAACTGGAATTTTGTTTTCATGCCTTCAACCAAACATGACATAAGTCACTCTCCCACATAGCTGGTCAGATGAATGAGACCCACCTTGAGGTTCAACAAACTGATGGTAAGAAATGAGGGTGGGTGCACCTGTTCAGCTCAGAGGAACCAATGTTATCTCCATTTTCTTTAAAAGATGCTCTGAGACTTCTTGAAAGACTTCTTTGGAGTCTCAGACTTCCAAGATTTCCAAGCTAGTCATCAATGACCAAGTCCTGAAAGTAGGTCTGACTCACAGGACAACAGCCAATACACACCTGCCCTTTCCATGTCAGAGGCAGAACTAACTTCTTTGTACATCTCATGCCTCTGCTTGCCTTCATTCCCCTCCTATGAGGCAGAGACAAATGTCATCTCCTGTAGCTACCACGTGCCATCAGCTCAGTAGAGGGCAGCTCCTCCATAGAGAAGAAGCTGGAGTTAAGATCATCTACATGTCTTATTAGAGTTGGAAAGAAAAAAAAAGATATATTCAGATCCTACTAAAAGATTCAGACAAATAAGTAAAACCTTCATTGTGACTGGAAGAAAAGATGTCTTTGAAGATACCTCTCTCTTAGGTCATCTACATGAACAAATACCCACATTTTCCACTGTGTTTGGACTGTTATGAAATCTGGAGTCTATTTGAGGAAATGGCAGCATTCACCAGCCCCTACCTGATATAGATACCCATCCCAGCTTTGCAGGCTTCTTTTTGTTTTTCGGTCGGTTGTGGGGCTTGAACTCTGGGCTTGGGCACTGTCCCTGAGCTCTTCAGCTCAAGGCAAGCACTCTACCGCTTGAGCCACAACGCCATTTCTGATTTTCTAGTGGTTTATTAGAGATAAGAGTTTGAAGGACTTTTCTGATTGGGCTGGCTTTGAACTGTGATCCTCATATCTCAGCCTCCTGAATAGCTAGGATTACAGGCATGAGCCACTGGCACCTGGCTATAGGCTTCTTAAGAAAAGCAAACACTGATGTTTCTTCAAAATCCTGATTTTGAAAGATGAGTGAACACAGGGGGAAATGTCTCACTCCTTGGATCTCGATGGATATTGAAGCTGGGAGCCACATCCAGCCCAAAGGAGGCCAGTCTGAAATATAGGCTTCTTTAGTGGGATCCTCCCCCACCAACATGGCCTTGTAATTCACCTCTCCTCTTCCAAACCACCAGTAAGAGGCCAAACCAGCCTCCAGCAAGGGGTAGATGAACAAAGGGTGAGAGGGTCTGAACAATGGCAGATTAAGTAAGAAAACAGACATGGAACAATGTTATTTTTCATGTTTCCTGGCTTCTCATTCACACTGTTTCTGTACTCCTTTCTTAAAGTCACATAATAATTGCCCCTCTTTTCATCTATCACTCTTTAAATCGTTGCAAGTTTTGGGAGAAGCTATCAGCAATCTATTATCTGCTGCTCTGTTCTCCCATTCTAAGCATTTGCTGTCAGTCCTTTATGAGAAATCTTCTTCCTGTTTGATGACTGACTTGATTCCCAAGCAAATGTTCACACAACACATAGTACAAACGTCCCTGATATGAGTGAGCTTTATGGTGAAAGTAGAATGTTCTCAGTGCTGGCTGCTGTGTAGATTTCAATAAGACTGGGATTTTTGTCCACTTGGGCAAGAGACTGAAGACCCCTTTCTTAGATTTTCCAGTACTCCCACTTTTCCCTCATTTAGAATTGTACCTTAAGCCTGTCCCCAAGGCTCTGGATTTCAAATTCCCATGTTCTCCTGGTGTATTGTCCAGCATTCTGCCCCAGAATAAACAACAGCTCATTTGGAAGAGGTTTTGTTTTTTTTTTTTAATTTCACCTTGGTATGCCATTGAAGAGTGGAATTAAAGGTCTCTATTTGTTTTCACTCACACAGTATCTGCTACATTCTCCAACATGTCTGTACCACAGACACTTACAGAGCCTCCCCACCAAAATCTGCTTTGTTCTCACTCATCAGACTGCTTTGGGGTTCTTCCTGGTTTGCATACATTATAAGCAAGAGTACACAAAAATCACACAACACAGACTCTACCAAAAGGGGACGTTTTTCCCCTGGACTGGCAGAGCATAAAGAGAACATGTGGCTGTGTACATTGGCTCCAATGACAACTCCAGGAGTGAGGCCAAGCCTGCCACACAGTCCCTTTAAAAGGAGTCTAAGTTATCTTCTGTCTTTTCCCCTGACTTTTTCTAGTTTCCCAGGAGGTTTCTGGCACAGAAAGATCCCATCCTAGCACCACAGTTAGAAACCAGCGTGTGGCACTCTCCTTGTCTTCGGTGGCTATGGGGTCTTCTATGTTCACCTCCAGTAGGGTGAACTGGAAGAAGGAGCCCCAGTTCTCTGCCAGCTCTCCTCTCCCTCTGAGCTTCACAAGGCTGTTTAGAGATAGATCTCTGGAACATGGACTCTTAACATTTTTTCCAGTAAAGAGCCAAATCGAAATAGCAAATATTTCACACTTTTTGTATTTAGTCTGTCCCAACGTCTTTCTTTTAAGAATGCTTGAAAATCTTTGAAAACACCAGATCTGCAGGCACTACTTTGTCAACCTCTGTTCTAGAACACTACCACTCCATGCCTTCTTCTGCGCCCCCAGCCCAAACCCCAAACCTTTCCCCTTTGAAGGACTCTGGCCCACTATGAGCTGCTGTTGTCCGCCTGTGTAGGCTTGGCAGAAGGACTCTGACTGGCAGAGCTGCCCACAGGGCTCAGGTGCGGCAGCCTCCTATTCTGCACTCCCAGGTATCCTCCTTTACCACGTGGATGGTTTGGCTGTAACTTTAAACAAATACCACCTCAGTCCAGATCATGTGTTATGGGGAATGAAGCCTCAGTGTCCCCTAGGGAGGTAGGAACATGTGATCAGCCCCACACCGGATGCAGGAGCTCAAGAGCAGAACCATCTTTCCAGATGCTGCCCAATCATCCTGTGTAAGAACTGAACAGAAACTGCAAGAGTCTAGATTTTGTATTTTCTAAGATCCTGGTTAGGGATTATTCTGTCCCACTCAAGCAAGCCCAGTGATTCAACCTCAACGAGAACAAGAGTACAAGTCCACTAGCAAATACTGCCAGCTACAGAGCTGCTTTCCAGATCACAATGACACTCTAAGAAACAGAATAAACTCAAACACTCAACACTGTAGGGACAGTTGGAACAGCCCCTCTGTCCTGCTGACAAATCTTTTCAAACTAAAAATAAAGTTTATAAAAGTAAATTATCTCGTTTTATAACTTAAGTGCATCAAGCATTTCCTTAAATATAGTTCACACTGAAAATAAAGTTACTTTTGCTGTACAGTTGGTGTCTGTTATAATTAAGAATAAACTTTGATGATAAAGTATGAAGGATTATACACTCGCACGCGCGCGCGCACACACACACACACCTATCTGTCTGTCTGTCTGTCTTCCTATGGTGTGTGGATGGATAGATGTATGCACCTCTTGACAAGTGCTTCCCCAAAATGGTGGGAAGTTGTTAGGAGTCCCTAAGTATCTAGTTTTCATGAGAATGCTTATATTAAAAGTCCCTGTCCTTAATGATAAACACATCTTCAAATCTAAAGCTAACACTCCTATTAAAAACATTAAACTATGCAATCCATAATGTATTCAGTCTTTGGAAATGCTGAGCTACACCGTGTCAATTTACAACAGCATCCCCAACAAAACTCCCTCCCCAACCCATCTATTCTCTGGCCTCCCCATCCTAAAGCCAGTGACCCCTCATATAATATGGTTGTTCCATATGGAGGCTAACCAGCAAACCCTAGGGGAAGACTCAAGAGGTGAAATAAGAATTCTGCATGGAGTACAGGTGGTCAATAGGGTTTCCCACTCTGGACTGCAGGGGACCAGCTTCTGAGGTTGCTAGGAAACAGTCACCCAGGTTACTGAGGGAAGTGTCGTCACTATCCAGGTCATGGAAAAGGGGCTCCGCACCTGAAATGGAGATAAAACACAGGCATGAGGTTCTTCAAAAAGTGAGTCACTTCAGTGCTGGGAAATCCAGCCAAACTTAAAAACACGGCTTCTTCAAGGGAGGCTAACGATACCACCCAGGGATAGACACTTGTCTTTTCAAACAGTAAGTTTTATTGAGTGCCTTTTGTCTCCCCAGATTTGTAGGATAGAGGAGAGGAAGGCCAGGTGCCTATCCTCAGGATCTCTGTGCCAGAGCCTGAGGAAGGGCCTGCTTCATCTGTATTCCTAGTCACTGAAAAGCTGGAAACTAGAGCTTATAAAAATTGGTCATGGGGTATTAATTGTTCATTTTTCTAAAGGACATGTCACAGAGTCTTCATGTAATAAGACCCCTGAAACTCTGAACAAGTAAGAATGTGCATAAAACCCATGTGCCCTGGTTTCCCATAGCCATGAAGTGAAGACTGGTCCAGGTGTTACAGATGTCTACTAAAGAAGCAAAATGGATGTAGTATGCCCATTACTGAACAGTGCACACACACATCTATGGATATGTATGTGCGTAAGATGGGCCGACAGAGGCCCTGAATTGTTTTGTTCCCCCCAAAAGCATTTGCTAAATGGATGGCATTTAGGGTTGTTAATGTACTAGTCTAATTAAGGGGGAATGTTGACAAAATTTGTGTGACCTTTTATGTCTGTAGTATTAATATTTTAAAAACTTGCTGGACAAAACTTTAATTATTAGTTTATCAGGGTAATTCATTACAGATTATGTCATAGATTAGAACAGTGCAATAACATTCTCAATGGATTTTCTCTGTGTAAAGGCATAGTTCCTATAACCCAGGCAAAAAGTTATCAAGACTCCTTCTCAAAAGGCAATGCTTTGGGGAGGGGAAGGGAAATAACAAAATGCTGAAACAAGGATACAGGTTGACCCATTGCAACAATGAGATGTATAAGACACTATGTTGAAAACGAACTTTACAACTTGGGGAGGGAAAAGGGAGTTGGGTGAGGTGGGAAAGGAAGGTATGGTAGGGAAAACCAAAGGAGGAGGTGGCAATGCTTGATAGGAAATGTACGTCTTACCTTACTCATGTAACTGTAACCCCTCTGTACACTATTTTTACAATAAAAAAAACCTTTAAAAAGGCCTGCAATCTCAACTAGTAGGAGGCAGAGATAGGAGGGACATAATCTGACTCTAAACCTGGGCAAAATAGGAGACACCACCCCCCTCCCAAAAAAAGCAGAATCAAATGGTGGCAGGAGCATTAAATAGTGGCAGCAGAGAGGATAGGGGTGACATTATCCAAAAGAAATACACTTTTTCTGAAGAAACTGTAACCCCTCTGTACACCAGCTTTATAATAACAATAAAAATAACAATAAAAAGTGGTAAAGTGCTTTCACAGCTACCACAAGGCCTTGAGCCCAAATCTCAGTACTACCACTAATAATACTACCACTTTAATGGTAATAATAGCAACAATAGCAGTACTAAAAGTAATGAGAAAAGACATACGCTGAGTTGTATCCTAAGGCCAGACATTAGCCTTCTGCTCCAGAGCTCACCTCTGCCCACTAGTCTCCATGGCTAATCTGTCATTAACACTGGGTTAAGTGGAAAGGAGCATGTAGTAAGGGAGGGTCACTAGGAAGGACTAAAAATAAAAGGCAATGAAAGCATCACTGATGAATGTGCATGAGTCTTTCTTCTGTAACCAATGGGTAGCCATCCAAGCAGCATCTTGTGGGACATATACTCTGTTTTGAAGTTTCATTGTAAATGTGTTTGGGGATGGAATGAGAAACCCAGCCAAGCAAGTTGGGGCTTGAGTCCCTCTCACCATAAGGGTGCATGTGATCTCCAGGCATCTGGGGTGGGGTGAGCCCTTGTCGGAAGGGATCCGAACTGTAGACACTCTGCTCGATGGCCAGCAGCTGCTGTGGGGTGGGCAGAGCTGTGTAGGGGTTCATGATCCCTTCCATCCCAGTACTGCTGCCACCATTTGTCTGGGCTGTGGGGTAAAGAAGGAAGCAGGTCAATTCTTCACTTGCAGCTTAGCACCCCACCAGACTTCACAACCTTTACTACTACTGTTGCTCCACTACATAGCCCTCTCTTAAGTGCTGAAGTGTCCTCATGGCATGCCAGCCTGATAACCAGAACAAGTGACCCAAGTGAGTACAAAGCACAAATGCCACACCTTTTGTGACCTAGCTTTGGAAACCATATTCTCCATCAGACTTATTCCGTGCTGGCTGGACCATAAACGGGTATGAACACAGGTGCTGAGAACCATTTCCCTTGCTAGGTCTAGTTTCCTCACTTACAACAGATGACCAAGTGACATCAGTGATTCCAAGCCTACACCTATGAAAGGCCATCATCTGAGTGTCTCCGATGTAAATAAGGGGTTTGGGCACAGGTTTGGCAACAATTGAGTAGATGAACCTAAAGATCCTTTCAGTAATAACCTCCTATGAGCCCATTGGCCAAGTTAGGCTATTGGAACAACTGGTCTCCCAGGGCTAATATGAAGATGCTGTGAAGTCATGTGTACTTTGACTATAGCTAGCTGCACTTGTGTACAGAAGTTCATGAGAAGAAGAGTCAATTACTACTGTTTACTAAGTCTATGATAGGATGTGCCTTGAGAATCCTTTAAACAAAATCCAAGGCACTAAGAGTTTGTGTTCTCCCAATGCCTTGGCACAATTCTTCTCCCTATGAGCTTGTTAGTTTAGACAAACAACTATGTATGCTCTAACTAAAGCCCCCCTCCTATCTGTGACCCTCTTTAAAAATTACAGGGGCCCCCATGAGACAGAGGTCACAGGTCTGATTACCCCAACCTACAGAGATGCATGGTCTCAGCTACAAAGAGATAGAAAAGTTAGTCCCAAATAAAATAAGAGTTGAAAACAGAATTCAAATCTCTTGACCAGTTTGCTGTTCATCTTTTCCAATACTGTGATCTTGTTATCAGTTTTCTCTCTCATAAAAAAGTAGCCCTAAGTTTAAAGGGTAAGAAGCTAAAGAAACTCTTAGGTTGCAAGAATCAAATTCTGGATCAAGGCTAGCCATGTGACAGCACAATTCAGTCCATGGAAAGACAAGAATCTCTATTGACAGCACTGCATTGCATTAGCAATGGGATTTTTTATTTTAAGCAACATTTTGTGAAAATAGACTTCTTGGGGTCTACATGGACTTTCCTTATGAGTCAGAATCTGCATTTTATCAAGATTGCAGGCAATTTATATGCACATTCAAGTGTGAGAAGATCTGCTCTTAAGATATAAACCCTTAGGGTCTGGGAAGGTAGTTCAGTGGCAGAGTGCTTGTCTTGCATGCATGAGGCCCTGGGTTTGATTCCTCAGCACCACAAAAACAGAAAAAGCCGGAAGTGGTGCTGTGGCTCAAGTAGTAGAGTGCTAGCCTTGAGCTGAAGAGCTGAGGGTCAGCGCCCAGGTCCAGAGTTCAAGCCCCATGACCAACAACAACAACAATAACAAAAGATATAAATCTTTAAAGGAACCCTTACTTTCAGGAATGGCTGTGTTGGTAGATATGGATATATATCCCTTTAAGAATGATCATGTTCTTTGTGACTATTTTGATTATAACTATGCTCTCTTAGCTGTCAAATCCTGTCCCAGTTGAATTTTTTAAACCAAAATTATAACTGAGCTCTTTCAAATAATTTCCAATGTGTCTTTGAATGATTTGGCCTAAAGAGTATGTCTTTGGGGCTGGGAATGTGGCTTAGTGGTACAGGGCTTGCCTAGCATGAAGCTCTGGGTTCGATTCCTCAGCACCACAGACACAGAAGAAGCTGGAAATGGTAGAATTCTAGCCTTGAACAAAAGAAGCTCAGGGACAGGGACCAGACCCAGGACTGATAAAAGAAAGAAAGAAAGAATGTATCCTTATGCGGCAAAACTACAGAAACTCTAGAGACTTTATCTTATCTGCCTGTGCCATTATTAATCTTGAATTCTGCATGATACAGAAAATTATAATTAAAGATAAAAACATTAAAAGAATGATCGTGTTTTTAAATGTAGTGAGACTGCTGATATTTTCTTTGAGCTTCATGGCTTCTGATAATTCTTGTTCCCAATCCTCCTACCAGCTCTGGAAGAAGACAAAAGAGGAGAAAGACGAGGAAACATCAAGTAAGGTTTACTTAGGCAGCTCAGCCTAGTGGACAAAGAATTACAGAGATGCTTTCTAATCTCACCTCTATCCCTTACCCGTGTGGAACCCATTCGAACTTGCAGAGCACCTTCGTGCATCTGTAAAATGGGGGTCTAGCATTCTCTTCACCTCAGAAAAGTGCTTATGACAAAAGCAAGTCAGCAACCTGTGTGAAGACTCTTTGTGAACTGTGTTTGAAAAAGGATGGAATTATCATCTAACGCTCATTACCTTCATTATTTTACATCATTTTGGAGGGAGAAGGGTTCTACAGTTTGGATCTTAAAATATTACCCCCAAAGCTCATATGGTAAAGCCTGTGACATTATTGGGAGTTGGTGAACCTTTGGAGGAGGAAATTAGGTCACTGGACGTGTGCTCCTGAAAAGACATATTGGGACCTTCACGTCTTCCTCTTTTCTTTCACTTCCTGGATGCAAGAAGACGAGCAGCATCCTCCATTGCATGCTCTGTCATGATGGTCTGCCTTTCAGCAGAGCCAAACAACCAATGGACAGAAAGCTATTGAAACCATAAGCCAAAACTAAACCTTTCAAGTTGATTCTCTCAGGTATTTTATCACAATAACAGGAAGCCAAGAGGTGAGATGACTGGATTTGATGAGAAGGAGGAGAACTGGATGAGTGAAGAAACTAGACATGGCTTTGATTTTGTACAAGATCCTGGTAGGATCTAAGCAAGGGGGATATGCACAAGGCTAACATCACCTCCAATGACCACTTCTAGAGGTGCAATTCACATGTCCTCAACACTCTTGCAAGTCCTCCATGCTTCTTCAGTCCTCATCTAAAACTAATCTCTCTCAAGTGGGTGTGTGGGTTGGCCTTCACTCAAAATGCTGGGCAGTTGGAGGCCTCTGGTTGGAGAGGCCTAGACACCAAAGGGCTTTGCCTGAAAGAGCCACCAGCTTACCAGAACTCAGTCTCTGGGTGTTCTGCTGGTCTTGCTGCTGTTGCTGCTGCCGCCTGGCCAGCTTCTTCATCTGGGAAGATAAGAAACTCAGGATTAATCAGGAGCCTGCGGAGGTTCACTCGGTGAGAGAGAAACAGAAGGGCCAGGGCCCTCTGGTGAGAGATGGTATTTGTAAAGTCGAAGAAGTGTTTCTCCAGCTTTTTCACAGTCCAGGAGTCTTGTGAAGGAGTAGTGCCTCAAGTCAAATGCAGCTGGCAGAGAAGCAATGCAAAGCTTGTCTTCAAAGAACAAGGAATTCCTCTCTGCAAGAACCAGTCACTGCTAATCCTTCACCAGTTTCATGTAAGACAATAAGAAGTACCTGGGTGTGGGCTTTGCAGCCAGGATAGATGTGGAATGATGGCTGCTGATGAGGTGGGATTGAGGATGTTCCAAGAAAATGCCCTTCACTCCACATCTACTGGCCCTTGTCTCTGAAACACCTCCAGAGAGATTCATGCCTCTGGGTAAGAAGCTTGGTACCAAAGCAAATACTTATCCCACTTGTTTGTCAAACTGTGTTCTGGGGAACACTGGGATTCCACAGGATGTTAACACGTACTTTGAGAAAGCAGGGGAATGTGTTATTTTTTTAATCAATTTCTTTATTGCAAGATTTCTCAGAGTTTTAAATGTGCACTTCTGCTTAGTGAATCTATGATTATGGGAGCTTCTAAACTTACTGCATCATGGCATCCTCTTCTAATGAAAAAAATACAACAGCCCTGTTCTGAGGATTCAGTGATGGAAATACTAACTTAACCAGTCATAATCAGGTAAGGAGAGAGCAAGTTACCACCCACTAATGACCAGGATCTTGGCAAAACAGACCATGCCACATGCATTTTTAGGGGTAGGAGGATAAATGAGTGAAAACTCTCAAATGAAACCCATAATGGGAGCACTCGAGCCTTTATAGGGTTTGAGGACACTGGTGATTGGGGCTGTGCTGGTGAGAGGCAGATGCTGGAAAATGGGAGTAGAGGTATTTATCCTGCCCATCAGTCATGGGTGTTCGGGGGTGTTTCTTTGAAATTTTCAAAGAACTTTACAATTTAGAATAAATAACAATTAAAGAATAAAATTAATAAGCAAAATTAAATAATATGGTATTAAGCTAGACGTGATGCACACCTATAATCCCAGACCTCATGAAGCTGGAGTAGGAAGAGACCCTCTCTCAATCCCTACCTGTTTCCCCAAAGAATATAGTTTTACTGAAAGACACAGAAAGACATTTATTCATATAGATGGCAGTCAGATTCACAGTCATGGCCACTAAGAATACAGAAGCCACTTTGGGGAAAAAAAAGAAAAGAGAAAACCCTTTTTCTCTTTCCTTTTTCAGGGACACTATATCTTCAATAATCATGGACAACATAATTTCTAATCAAGAAAACTACTTGGAAGATGAGCATGGTGCCATGAACCTGTTGTCTCAATTACAGCAAGAGGCATAAATAAGAGTATTGTGATACAGGCCATGAAAAAATCAGACTGTATCCTAAAATTAACCAAAGTATCTGGTAAAACAAGCTGAGGAAGAATTCAGCAACTCCAAGCAAATGGTAGTTATTGTTCTGTGAGTAGGAGAGAGCCACAGTGCTTTTCAGTATATTTTAATGAACAAATTGGGAGAACAAAATGTATTATTAATCTAAAATTTAAAAAGAAATAAAGGGAAAAGAGCTAGAGGCAGGGCTAAAGTGGTAGAATGCCTGCCTAACAAGTGTGGGGCTCTGAGTTTAAACCCTAACACTGCTGAGAGACAGAGAAATGGGGAGAGAGATGGAGAAGAGAGAGATGGAAGTAGACATGGGTGGAAGAGAGAGAGAGAGAGAAGCTACTTTGTGCAGGAATTCAGGAAAGAAAACAAAACTTTGCTTGGCAGCAAATGAAATGCCCTACTGCTGCTACTTCAGAAAGCCAGCATCACAACATCAGACACAAGTGAAAAGCAGATTACCTTAGCTCTCTGGTTCTGGAACCACACCTGGACGACACGGACACTCAGCCCGGTTTCTGCAGCCAGCGTCTCCCTCACCTTGAAAAGAATTGAGCATTACTAGCATCTCAGGGTAGGAGGCAGAACATCTCCTGTGCAGTCCATAGACAAGGTCCCAGCAAGGAGGCCAGTGGGCTGGCTGCATCTTACACAGAGGTTAGCTTCTGAGCTCCTGATTCACGTTCAGTATAAACCAGGACAGAAGCACATGCTTTCCTGCTAGCAGAGGGGGTGTACTTCACCAGGTAAAAGCAGGGAACACTCAATTTAAATGCACATTCCCAAGAAGTGTTTCTGGGTTTTTCTTAGTCTGAAATTAGGTCTTCACATGATTCTAAGACATGATAAAACTCTACTGCATTTTAGCTGTAGGCTATGCTCATATATTTAGCTTATTTAAAGAGAAGTAAAGTGAAAATAACTTTGCAAAAACAAACAGTTTTCTTCTCTTGCTTAAAATTCATTGACCTAAAACTTTTGGTTTTCTCTCCCTAACTCTAAGGGACTTTGGATGTTGTTCAAATGTTCCTATTTACTGTTGTCCTGAGTGAGCCTTACTCAGAGAGAACAAGACATAAAACAAGAGCTATCTGCAACCTGGTAGGGCCCAGGAGACAACACTGATGCAGGAGCACACATTGGGTGCACCTGAAGATGCAGGTGTTAAAGGAATGTGTTTAAATATCTTCCAGCTATCTGGGCCACAGCAAGAGACTGGAAAAACTGTGAGAAAGGATAAGACCAGGAAACACCGATTTCTAGAGCAGGACTGAGAGATGCAAACCTTCTTGGTAAGTGTCCAGAAATGATAGGCTGGAAAGAACCCCTTAAATAAACATGTAAGTCCTGCAAATTGAGGACTTAGAAAATACTTCATCTTGACCCTGCTACTTTGGGTAAGGCTTAGGAGAAAAAGAAAGAATAGACTAGATATCCAAGAAACATCCTTCTGCTAAGCCAGCTACAACAGAAGGACACAGAGGGGACCCCTGCACCTGCTGAAACCCTATCCCTGCCTTAGGGGCCCAGCCCAGAAACCACCTGCTCTACAAAGCCTTGCAGATTCCCCAGACAGAAGAGACCTTCCTCACATCTCCCAGTAATCCTTCCCTGACATCACCACAGCTCGCTCGCTGGTGCTTCCGTTGTGTGTGCACTCATGTATCTTCATCGGCACACAAGCATCAACATGAGACTCTATGAAGGCTAAGAGTTTGTACTGGAATGGTTGGTCTCTGCACACCTATTTTGAGGGCCTCTCACTTTCTAGCAGTACTTCACTTGGAGCATAGCCAATGACAGGGAAGAAAGAGTTTCGAAGTTTAATCTTTTTCTCATGTCAGAGTGTGGCCAAATGTATTAACTGTTCAACACACATTAAGTGCCCCCTCCCCTGCTTTTTCCTTTGGATTCTGAGATTTAAAAATAAATAAACTATCAAAACACTGAGAGGGGTTTTTTGGGGGGGGTAGATAATATTTAACTTCTTATCTTTATGTAGTTGTACGAAGGGGTTACCATTCGACATGTTGGTTTATAAGTATCAATGCCACTGAGTGTTTTGCACACATATTCACAGCAGCCCCACTTGTATCAGCCCCAAAGTAAACACTATATTCCTCGATAGATGAAGGAACAAATAAGCCATGGCCTATGCACACAGTGGAACACCAACTAACAGCAAGATGGACTACTATATGAATGAGTCCCCATCACCATAGCAAACTCTATCCCCTCCTCTCATAAAAAAGAGTACTACAGCTGATACTAACACAAGGAGGAGGAGGAGTCTACTTGGCTTGCCATGTAATCCTATTGCTTGCCATAAAATAAAATAAAAGATGTGAACCAGAGACTTTTGGACTTGGTATACTGATAAAAAGGCATGAAGTGATTATATTAGTCCCAGAGCCATAGCTTAACTGTCTCTGTAGTCTGCAATAGAGCTTCTGTTCTCTTTCATTCATTGTCTTGATTTTCCTTCCCCACATCTTGGACCCCAGCTGCCCAGTCATCCAGGTACACACAGGAGAATGGAGCGCTCTTCCTTTTCTGCCCCTTTCCCCTAATACCTTTCTGCAGGGCTTGGAAGAAACCTCAAATGAGGCCTTGAATGCTCTCCTCTGCTGAGTTGTCAAGATGGTTCTGGGACGCTTAGGGCGCTTGTGATCCTTGCCATCTTCAGTGGCTCCTTTTCCTGCCCCATGGGATGACTTGCAAAGACTTTCTTCATCATCACTTTTGCCTAGACAAAATAGAAAACAATGTGGTGAGTCCTTCAGTTACTTCTTGGAGCTGTATATTATTAAGTAACAAGACTCTTAGATGCCACACTCCCAGGAGGATGGCTTGCTATGTGAGTAGAATAAGCTGTGAGGTATGGTTTTGATAACTTTTAGGAAGAGGCTAAGCAAAGCTCTTCTGAACCCCAAGGCAGGAAGCAGGAAGTCCACTATGACACCTCAGGAGTTTACCAGAGTGATGTCTCTGAATCTCCCAGTGTAGCAAGTTAGACATCTTTCTATGACCCAAAATTTCTTCAGGTTCAAAACTGTGACGTAAGAGGCTTTAAGGGGCTGTTCTAAAGATCAGAAGCAGAGAATTTGTTTTCAGCCAAGGGCCATTTGGATAATTACAACATTATTCAAGGGCCATAAAAATGATCCTCAATTCAGATATCCAGGGGCAGCTGAAAAGAAGCATCTGCAAAGCACATGTGTCTATCATGTACCAAATGATTTTGTGGACTTTATACACCCCAAAAGCAGGATGGTCCCCATCCCTGGAAGGCATCTGAATGCTGCCCAGCACATGATAAGTGCTTAGTATGTGTAAGTTATTAATATGATTTCCTAAATAATGTTTTTCCAAAATATATCTGGAGAAGTCACACGCCACTTCCTAGACACTGTGTCAGGAATTCTAGCTGCCACAGGAGACAAAAACATTATTGTTCAAAATGGCATGGAAGGAAAGCACTGGATTACTTAAAAGCACAGATGACTAACACCAAGTGACCAGCTAAGACAAGCAATACCTCAAATATGTGTACATATAAAATAAGCAACTCCCTACAAAAGTAACTACAAGGCTTTGTGAAATAATTCCATTCTGTAAGCAGTGAGGAATACAGGGATCTGTAAGGAAAATCAAGCTTTGAACATCCATCACATTCTTTCCTGGGCACTCACACACAGAGATTTCAATCCTAAAAAAGTACAGCTAAGGTTTAGGAAAAGACTATGTAAGAGAGATTTCTGTTCTAAGTTGGGCACTAAAGCCTTTGGTATCAAGTAGGTAGGCCACACCTGTAATTCTAACTTCACAGAAAAGGGAGGTCCCAGATAACCCAGAAGGAGAAGCAAAAACTGAAAGGAGGAAGCAAACAATGAAGAACCTCAGGGAAATAAGGAGAACTCCCAAGAGGACAAAAGATAGGACGGATTCGCCCTTCATCCTACTCTTCCATGGATTGGAAATTCTCCCGGCCCCCATGTTTCAGCCAATGAGTTTCTGCAGTGGGGTGAAGAAGATACTTCTCTGGTGTTACCAGGCAGACATCCTACCCAAGCTTCATGCAGATTAGCAAGGCAGGTGACTCCAAAGGGGCCAGGGCTGAAGGCCAGCCTTAAAAATGAGAAGCAGGACAAGCAGAAAAGGTCAGATAAGTTGATGTTAGGAGAAATGAACCCCAAGATAAGTATTCAAATGGTTTTTCTTTCTTGCGATTGTTTCTAACATATTTATAAGATGATTTCTTTGTTGCTTTGTATGTCCCTCCCCCACAGTATAACCTCTGTTTTCACTGTTGGTATACTTTGTGGAGGGGAAGGGAAAAAACAAATTGTTTAAATAGGGATACAGATGGACCCATTGCAACAATGAGATGTACAAGATGTAATGTCAAAAAAGAACTTTACAACTTTGGCGGAGAAGTGGGGGGGGGGAGGATGGGAAGGGATGTGAAGAGTAAACAAAGAAGGAGGCTGCAATGCTTGATAAGAAATGTACTCATTATCTTGCCCATGTAATTGTAACCCCTCTGTACGATATTTTAACAATTAAAAAAAACAAAAAAATGAGGAGCAGGACAACTTGAACACAACACATTTTAAAATGAAACTATGTTACCTTCAAACACCTCAAGTCTTCTATCACTGTGGTCAACAAAATAATATTTGCATGTCTTATGGAGTCCAAAGATTCTTTTTTTTATTCTGAAAATACTGTACGGAGGGGTTAACAATTACATGGGCAAGGTAATGAGTACATTTCTTATCAAGCATTGTTGCCCCCTCCTTTGTTTCCCCTTCCCATCCCTTCCCATCTTCTCCCCCCACACCCCCCCAGTCCAAAGATTCTTTTACTGTCACTGTTGTACCAAATACAGTTTCGTGTAAATGCTTAATAAGTTAGATAAGGTAACTAATGAAAATGTAAAGCCTAAAATAATAATAGTGTCCCAGGGCTGGGAATGTGGCTTAGTGGTAGAGTGCTTGCCCAGCATGCATGAAGCCCTGGGTTCGATTCCTTAGAACCACATAAACAGAAAAGCTGGAAGTGGCACCGAGGCTCAAGTGGTAAAGTGCTAGCATTGAGCAAATTAAGCTCAGGGACAGTGTCCAGGCCCTGAGTTCAAGCTCCAGGACTGGAAAAATTAAAATAAAAAATAAGAGTGGCCCATAGGCTGACACTATCCAGGAAAAGAGGCATTGTGTCTACAAGTATGGGCTTTTGGACTCATCTACACTCATGCTTGAATTCTGGCCCTACTGGTTACTGTGCTAGATTCTGAATGTACTCATAAAGACTCATCCTCAGATACTCATGAGGAAAAGTAATTGTGTTGTTAGAATTAAAATAAGCTGATAGATGTACAGGATTTAAGCATTGTTTAGGATGTGATAGGTGTTGAACAAATAAATGATGGCCATCATTTCATCCTAAAAACTATTCTTGATCCAAGACACATACTGTCAATCAGTAATAGTCTCCTATTGATCAGAGGTCTGTGCTAAGATTCTGTGTTACCAGTGTTCATTTATCTCTTTTTCTGCAGACATGGATTCTCAACAACAGACCAAGTCAGCGGAAAGCAAGTGTAGGAGTGGGGCTGGTTCTGGAGAGGGTGTGATTGCTGGAGTATGTTCCCAGACAGGGCTTGCGGGATCCTCCCATTGCTGTCACTGTACCCAGCCTTCCCTAGGACACCTGCACATTTCCAAAGAGCTGTTATCCCAACAAGGAGAAGGGGAAGAGAACCATCTCCAAGGCTAGACAGCCCTACAGGGAACTGCTTATTCTTTCTCTGTCACCCCTATACAGAAGACAGGGAAGAAAACAGGATGAGGAGGAAGAGGAGGAAGAGCAGCAGCAGCAGCAGGAGGAAGAGGAGGAGGAGGAGGAGGAGGGAGCAATAGTCATACTAGTTTGTCTCTATAGTGTTCCTGTCACTTGTATGGTTCATTTTCCCCTGATTCCTCCTTTCTGCTACCTACGATCACCTTTATTCTTTCTTCAGGTCCCTCATTTTGTCTTCCCTGAAGTACCTTATGCTCTGGAATAGAACTTCTCTGTAGAATTACAGAGAATAACATTTTTCATCTTCACAGGCTCTGTTTTCTTTTGCATTTCCTTATGTCTTCCATCCTAGAGGGCAGAGGGTAGCCCCAGGTGATATGAATGGAATAGGTGTGCTCCAATCAAGCTGCATTTCCTAAGCAGGCAGGAGGCTAGATTTGGCCTCATGCCAAAGTGTGCTGACTCCTGGCCCTAGACCTCATAATCCTGTTCTCCATCAAAACTTACATGTTCTGATTTTGGGGGTTCTGATTCCAGGAACAGACAGTGCTGCTCATGGGATACATGGTGGAATCAATGGCTTGCATGATCTAATGTGTTCTCTTCCAAGGTCAACAACACACATATTTAACAAGAAATGCTTCTACCTGTGGATTCTCAGGTGTCCTAGACAGGTCTAGGTAAGAGAGAAGCCAAAGATGGAAGAAAAGAGCAGCACTTTGGCAAGTCACAAAGTACAGAGACACATGTCACCACCTAGCTGCCAATAGGAACTGACATGGCTATCTGTCACCGGGCTCCAGCTGCTGAATCGATATGGATATGGATATGTCAGGGGCATAACATTATCTTTTGACTTTCTTTGGGTAATTCCAAAGCTGCTCCTTGGATGTTCAATGATGCCCCAGTATCCTCTTTCAGCAAGGAAGACCTGCTGGATTAGAGTTCCAACTTCTCCATGTAAACATGCAGTGTCGGCTGGATACTGCTGGCTTCCCACTATACACCCAGCCATTCAGAAGGCTGAGCTCTAAGGATTGCCGTTCAAAGCTAGCCCAGGCAGGAAAGCCCAGGAGACTCTTATCCCTAATTAGCCACCCAAAACTCGAAAGTAGAGCTGTGGCTCAAGTGGTATAGTACTAAGAACACCAGGCCCTCAGTTCAAGCCTCAGTACTGGTGAGAGAGAGGGAGAGAGAAAGAGGAGGAAGAGGGTGGCAGGGAGAGGGAGAGAGAAAAGAGAGGGAGAGAGAAGAAAAAGAAAAGAAAGGGAGAGAGGAAAGGGGAGAAGAGGGGATGGGAGGAGAAGGGAGGGAAGAGGGATGTAGCATTTGAAATATATACTTGTCAATTTGCCCAAAGGCAAGGAAAAGTCTAACCGAGTCAGGAGATTTTTCCCAGAGCCAGCAGGAACACTGAGGAGCAGAATTACGAAGGAAAAGCTTCAAACAGCAGAGAAGCAGAGCAGAGGGGCGGCCCCTCTCCCTTGCCAGAGACTCCCACACCCAGATGCAGGCTGGAGCAATCCCTCATAATTTAAGCTGACACCCCTCAACAGAGATGAAAGAAACACCACTCCACGTGCTGCTCGCCGACAACAAATGTCAGCATCCCTAGAGGCCATTTAGACACAAGCACAGCATAAATCTGACTGCTAGTGGGGAAGTCCAGAGATCAGGTCTCCTCGCACAACCTACCAGAATGAAATGAATCGGCTTGGCATAAAGTTTGAGCATGTTTCTCAAGGCCTTTCTTTCCCCTTTCTTGTAAAAAAAAGGGGGGGGGAAGTCTGGAATAGTTCAAGGCTGTGGCTCCCCCACTTCTGTTCCTCCCACTGGCTTATGACATAAGCAATCGTAGATGAAAGACCCAGCCATGCTTTATGGCTGGGAGATGGAGCTGCACTACCTGTGGGGCCGTTAGATTCATTGCAGGTTGTTGGACAA